GATTAGTAAATAAACATTCTCCTTTGTCATAGGGCTTACAATGTAGGAGACTACGATATTTAGTTTATATTAGTGCCGCATTTTTATGCTAAGCAATCATTAAATTATTTTAGTGTTTTAACAACATTCGTTGGTATAGATATGCCTTAAAAGTTTAAAAAAAGGCTAATACAAAAAAAAATAAAATAAAAACTTAAATCTACCTTAAAACTATATAAACTTAAACTAATCTATTTACAATTATATTATTACTGAGCTGTGTTGTAGACAGGCTCAGAGTCAGCGTCAAATCCGTTACACCTACGATGGTAGTACATTAGGCGTTCATCATCGTAGAGCAATCCTTCGTCGCGTAATTTTAGTAGAGCTGCGGGTGGCAGATGCTTCCTTCTTTGAATATTGGGGATTTCCTCTTGGTAGTCCAGGAATTGTTCCACTATCCCATTTTCCACGTTTTGGCTTCTCTCCAGAAAGTTTAGTGCATTCTTCATCATGAAGACGTCTATCCGGCTAAATTCGATGGCGTTATAGATGTTCCTGCAAATTGGTCGTCTGAATATCCCATTCTTGTCAATTGTTGGCCTCATTCCTAAGCACGATGCCAAGATCCTCCTTTCCCATTTCCTTAATCTTTCCATTTGGGCCGAAGATATGTCAGCCCAAGCGGCGAAGGAATAGGTTATTATGGGCCGGATAACGTGCTTGTAGATAAGCAGTTTTACGTCCGGCGACAGTCCTCCTCGCATGCTGAATAGCCTCTGGTAGGCGTAATTCATCTTTTTGGCCTTTGGCAGCACATAGTCCACGTGACGGCAGAAGTCAATTCTGTCGTGTAGGATGATTCCCAGGTATTTCATCCTATCTTAAGTTGCAATTAGTTGGTCACCAACCTTGATCGTAGGGATGTATCTTCGGAAGCTCTTTGCTGTAGACTGAGGTTTGCCTTTGTAAACCACAGATACACACTTTCCAACGTTGAGGTTGAGGCCCCATTTGTTGAAGTAGTTGTGGAGCGTATTCATGTACGTATTCAATCTTCTTTCCACTGTGTTTTAGAAGCGACCTCGTAGCGCCAATAAAATATCATCGGCGTACATTAGCAGTAATCCTCCTTCAGGTGGTCCAGGGATGTCGCTGACAAACAAGTTGTACAATACTGGTCCCAGCAGTGATCCTTGAAGAACCCCTGTTTTTACCAGTCGTTGTTCAGACAGTTTGTCATCGACTCTAACCCGAAAGACTCGATCCTGGAGAAAGCTTGCTACCATGCGACAGGTTTGTCCATCGAATCCAAACGATTGCATATTGTATAAAATGCCATGTTGCCATACTGTATCAAAGGCTTTGGTAAAGTCCAGACCAATTGCAATTGTTCCCATTTTTGACTTGAAACCGTCCGTGACATATATTGTGAAGTCTGCTAGGGAATGGGTTGTAGAGTGCTTTGCTCTATATCCAAATTGGCAGTCCTTTAATATCCTCTTGTCTTCGATGATCCGGTTGATTCGGCGCAGAAGGAAGTGTTCTAGAAGCTTCCCAAAGGGCGATAACAGGGATATCGGTCTATAGCTCCCTCTTAGGGTTGCGTCTGTTCCGGGCTTTGGTACTGGTACCACAAGTGTCTCTTTCCAGGCTATTGGGAAATAGCCAATGTTGAGGCAGTGGTTAAACAATATGGTAAGAAAAAGAATGATAGCTTCACCAGCTTTTTTTACAGCAATATCAGGGACCTTATCGATGCCACAAGACTTCTTCGGTGCCCTTCTTGCTATAGTTGATCCGACCATGTCTGGATCAACAAATCCGCTTTCTTCCCATCAGTGTGTGTTGATGATGGACCCATCTGCTTTGAATTCGTTGCCAAATTCAACAGAGGGCGCGTGGTTTCTAATTCTTTCCGCTGCTGTATCGATCATGTTGCGGAAGGAATTGTCTATTGTTTCCTCGGACTGATGGTTATCCTGTATGTAGTCTGTCAGGATCTCAGCTTTTTGTGTGTTATCCGAGGTGATTACACCGTTATTGTCCATAATACCTTTTATTGGTTGCCGGAATGCCAGGCCAGCGGCTCTTTTGACCTTCCCGTATGTCTCCGAGTTTACCTCGATGTTTACCAAATAGCCCTTGAAGCGATCTTTCTCATGAATAATAATCAATTGCTTGATTATTATGCTTAGGTTCCTTATGTCGGCCTTGAGGATTGGGTGGCGATCAGGATCTGCTGTGCGTCGTAATATTTCCCGTAACCTTTTCCGCTCGGTGATGAATCTTTGGATGTTGGGAGGGAGATCTCCAACGAGGGAATTTCTGACTTCCTGGGTTGACACGTTGCTCTCTATGGTCGATCTGAAAACGGAGCATAGGCCATCTACACATGCATCTACCTCGGCTATGCTGACATTTCTATCCACAGGAAGGATGTGCTGCTGCCATCCATCCTGTAAATGTCGTCTGTAGCGGCGAATCCTTGTTCTATTGAAGTTATAGAACACTGCTTTCTCAGCTCTTTCGATGTCATCTATGAGCAGGCACATTTCTGCTGCTCGATGATCGGACTCGAAGTCGTGTGTTGCTAGTGGTCCATTGAAGTCCAGAACAAGCCCGGGCGTTCTCAGGAAATAGTCAATGTGCGATCCTCCTTGTTCGTTAGGTCTGGTCGGTGCTAGTGTTGGACACAGATCTAAGTTAAGACAGCTGTTGAGGCAGGAGTGTAATGCACGTCCTCTCGTGTTGGTTACATCTCCTCCCCAGTCGTGGTGTTTGGCGTTTAGATCACACCCAATAATCACTTCAGCTGTTGCACACAGATTGACTATATCGTTGAGGTCTGCTGTGTTGAAGTTTGCCTGCGGTCTTTGGTACATTGCAATAAAGATAATATTTGTACCGCTCCTTGTCCAAATCCTTGTCCCACAGGATTTTATTTGCCCGGTGTTCAGGAAAATCTGCTCCGATTAAGTGAGCTTGTGTTCAGCTATTAATAGAACATCAGGTTGGTTTTCATTGAGAAATAACTGAAGGTAGCGTCGCTTTTCCATTAAAACGACAGAATTGATATTAAGGAACATGCATTTTAAAATGAATATCCCTTAATATGCATAAGAAGGGACAACAATGCAGTTGACCCTCCTTCCGCCGTTTTTATCCTTTGGAACTCGCCTTTGAAGGAATCCAAATCTTTTAGAAGGTCTCCGATGCCTTTGCCGAAAGACGTTTTGCACTCCTGTGCCATTTCCTTTGCTATGTCTGCAGCTCCGGTGGTTTCCGTTGTCTTCATTACAGGGATAGGTCTCGCGTTGACTTTTGATTGTGATCCTGCTGCTGCGGCGTAGGTCAAAATATTTTTTGTTGTTTTTAGCTGTTGTGACCTTGTTTTGATTTGGCCCAATTTTTCTTCTCTGCGTTCCCGTAGTTTTTGCAGGATTGCATTCTTTTTAGGGAAATCCGGAGAGTTGGCTGTGTGCCCCTCTTTGTTGCAGTTGGCAAATTTTAAGGGTGGTTTAGCGGCTACAATGACAAAGTTGTCCTCCTCCACTTTGTCATTTTTCCCGGGTATGAGGCATTGTCCATGCTCGTGATCCTAGGCGCATTTGACACATTTCTTAACCATGTTGCAGTTTGCAGAAACATGTCACGGTTTTTGGCAGTTGAAGCACTGCACGAACTCTCTTCTTTTAGCTTTCCGGAAAGTGACGTCACAAGCTATCACTTTTCTTATCTTGTACAGCTTATTGACCTCCGTGGTCCGAGTAAGCCGAATAATCCATTTTTTGGCTCCGGTATTAATAGCGCTTATAACTTGTATTTGGAAATCTAGTCCTTCCAAATACCTTTTCACATCCTCCGGGGTGTACTCTGCGCAGATTTCGTCCGCGAGTACAGAGTAGGGCAGATGTTGTTTGGGTGTATGAGTATGGAATTTGTGATTCCTTTCCTTCAATAGAGTCCTAGCCTTCACGAAGTTTTCCAGTCCTTGAACTCGGACTGACAGAACGCCCTTTCTTACCACTTTAAAATGAAGTGGTTTCTTCCTACGTGGATGTCAAGAAAGTTGGTCATCTCGACAACTGTGGCGTCGTACGCCGTGATTGCAGGTTGGTTTTTCCCTGTCTGCTTAGCTGGTTGTTGTGCACGTGCGATGTTTGCTTCTGCACGAGCGCTGTTTTCCGAGAATGTCATTTTTCTCGGGTTTATGACCTTGTTTGCGTCATTACTTTTTATTACCTTGTTTGTGTCATTGCTGTTTATGACCTTGTTTACGTCATTTACGACTGCCGTTGTGTGTGTCGTCTGGTTTATGCTTTTATTGCTGCAGTTGATTTGTTTGTTTCCTTGTTGCTTGTTAAAGGGGGAAAATCCATATTGAAGTCTGCTGCCGATCCAGCTGTTGTGTCAATATCCATGCTGTACTTGGAAAAATTCTTAAATTTCTCCTCCAGTTCCGCCTTTTCCATTAGGGCCTTGTCCAGTTGGGCCGGCATCCTTTCGATCTGTGCTTTCATCCCTGAGAGCGTTGTATCGAATTTCAGCTTAAGGTAGCTGATATCCTCGCAGTCACAATAGCTGCGCTTCTTCCTCTTCTGTTTGCGCTTCTTCCTATACAGTTTGATAGCCATCTGTGGTCGCGCCATCATCCGTCAAAAATGTGCTGCTGTTGAGGCTCCTCTTCTGATCGCACATTCTTCTGATAATATTTTTTCTCTCTCCACACTTAATTTCTACCTGCTGCGGGGTTTCCGAGCAATTTATTTTGCACTTTTTTCACTGTTTTGTCGGCTCGCTTTAAAAACACGTGTTGTCGCTATGAAGGTCAAACACAAACTAGTATGTTTGAGTTAGATTACGGGATGAAATCTTTACTCAGGCTGATAAGCAAGTGTAGCATGTTTGCTTGCCACAAGTGAGATATGGTGCCAGGCATGTGTACATTTGTATCTCTCTATTTCTCTCTCTCTCTCTTACACTTTATGCTAGACCAGGTTAAGGAAAATTACCATAAGTAGAACTTACAGTCGCTCATCAACATCTGTTGACATTAGACTGTTTTTCGCGCTGGTCGCTGTGCTTTTATTTCTAAACAACAACAAATATACAAACAACGCATTCACACACACAAACATAAACAATTTGAGTTTTTTTCTTTTCCCTGCTTTTGCAATTTTTTTTATTACAAAAGTTAAAATAATCCTTCATTAACTGAAAAATGGGGGGAGTAGGGGAACCTCCTCCTCCGCCTATTCCACCTCCTCCTCCGGGGGAACAAAATAAAAGAAGAGCTCCCAGCATTTCCAAAGAAACTAAAACTTTCAAAAACCAAAATGGAACACCTGTTAAACCAATAAACACAAACACAGAACCTACTTCAAATAATGAAATGGCAGAACAACACAACTACAACTCTCTAAATAAAGAAACCATTTTGTATCCTCAATACCATCCCGGTCCTTTTCATGTGTTAGTTTCCTCAGAAACGCCAATTAGCACAAGAAGAAAGAATTGTGAACTTCACCTGTATGCAAGATTTCAAAAGATTAATATTACAGACTATGCTTGCAAGAACATTGGATACAATAACAGAATAACATTTAACAATGCTACCTCAGCCAACTCCTTTGCTACGAACCCAAAGTTAAACCAAATCGATCTCAAAGCCTTTATCCCAGAACGTTTTGTACAACGGTTCTATATAATCAAGAATGTACCAATAAGTATTTCTGCTATTACAATTAAACAACAAATTGAAGCTAATAATGATATGGACGTTGTTTCAATATACCGCTTCACTAGAAAATCCAAAAACAATAAAATGGAATACTCCGAAACCATAAAAATCGGTATTATATATGATGGTGTACCCACGGAGATACTTATGTGCGGAACAAAAATAACACCGGAGTTATATATCCCCCCTGTACGTTTATGTTTAAACTGCGGACGGTTAGGACACATAGCCATTCGTTGCAGGTCGACGAAAAAATGTTTAAATTGTGGTAAATTTATTATATGCCCCAATCAATGTCCCAAAGAGCAGAAATGTAAAGAATGTTTATCAACAACTACGTGCAAGGATATATGCAACTCGCCTCGATGCATTCTCTGTAATAGTATTGATCATTTTGCAACCGACTCAAAGCAGTGCCCAAGACGGAAATCTGAAAGAAATATAAGAAGCATAATGGCCCTTTCCAAACTTTCACGAAAAGAAGTTGTTCAAAAATATCCAGAATCCCAAAACCGTTTCCAAGTCCTTTCTGATGATGAATTTAACAATGCCTTTCCCCCTCTTAATAAAAACAAACCACCAAAAATAAGCGTTTATAAAGAAATAAACAAAAGAGTAACAAAATTAAAATATAGCAAAGTTGCGTCTCCACGAAATCCAATCCATCACGCCATTGCCAGTCCGATTCAAATCACACCATCTCAATCCGTCTTCAACCATACTACCTTTTCAAAAGTATCTGAAATTGAAAAAGCATTAACACAATTTTCAAAAGAAATGTCAAAAGTCCTTACCTCACTTAATAGTGCCGAAGGTTTAAACATTTTAAAAAAATTCCAGCAATCACTCCTTTCATCGGAAATAGATAACCCATTTGAGGAACCAAATAACAAAGTGCCAAATAATAATTCAAATCCTGCAAATTTACAATAAACTTTTATTAAAATCATGAACGTGCTTCAATACAATGTGCAAAGTTTAAACAAAAACAAAAATTACCTCGAATTTTTTCTGAAAAAGCAAAAAATTGACATATGTTTTTTGAGTGAAATATTTAATATAGACGAAAGTCAAAACTCGTCATCTATACAAGGATTCAATATAGTATCGAAAAAAAGAAGTGATAATTATGGTGGTGTAGCCTTACTTTTCAAAAAAAATATACAATTCAAAAAGATTACTTTTGAAACCTCCTTGGATATTCTGATTTGCCAAACCACAAATTTAACAAACAATTTAACTCTGGTATCCATTTATTTTCCCCACTCAGTCAGATGTGCAACTATAAAAACAGAACTAAACAAATGAATATCATTACTTGATAATCAAAGTAACACTTTCATATGTGGTGACTTCAATGCTAGACACTCAGCTTTTGGTGACTCATTTGTCTCACAGCGTGGAAAAACAATAAAAGAGATCTTTGATAATTCCAACTTTCAATGTCTAAACGATGGTAGTTATACCTTTAAAAAAAATATAAATGATTTGAGTGGATCCGTTCTGGACCTGTCTTTCACAAACTCTATTTTACCAATTCAATGGAAAATTTTCAAAAATATGATCGGTGGAAGCCATCATTATCCTGTCATTTTAAATATTAACAACACAAAGTGCAAGGGTCAGACTTTTTTGGCCAAAAAACAACTAATGAAAAAGCTAAGTACAATCCAACTAAATACTAATTTTCAAGAAATACACTCCGTGATAAAAAGTGAAATCAAAAAATCTACTTATACCCTAAAAGGAAATAAAACACCTAAAGTTTGGTGGGATTCCTATGTTGAAAAACAGTACAGACTACAGATAGCTGCACAAAAAACTTATGATATGCATAGCAATGATATAAATGCAAGAAATCTAATTAAAATGATAAAAAAAACTTTAAAAATGCCGTCCAATTTGTCAAAAAACACAATTTCATGAATAAAATACAAAATCTAAACAAGGAGCCCAGTTCAAAACATCTCTTTCAATTTGTTCGTGGGTGCAAAAATAGTTTATCATCAAACAGCAAAAGCAAATGGTCCCCAAATAACAACAAACAATTTCTATGCCACCTCAGAGATCAAGTTCCAGACAACAATCTAATTAATTATGTCAGCAAAACTTCTTATAATCAGTCCAATCTAACAATGGAAGAGTTTCTACTGGTTCTCAAAAACAAAAAGAAACCCTCAGCTGCTGGCCTTGACGGTATAACATACGAAATGATAAATAATCTAGCCGAATCGGCAATTGTTTATGGAAAAAGTGCGAAATCATAGATGAATGGCGAAAAATTAAAATTATCCTGATACCAAAAAAAGGCAAAGATCTAGAATTGTTTACAAACTTCAGACCGATAGCCTTAATATCAGTTCCTTTAAAAATAATAAATTTAATGGTGAAAGAACGTCTGCAACAATTCATCGACGAAAATAATATTTTGCCAGCAAATACATTTGCATACAGAAAACATATGTCCACTTCGATGTGTATCAACAACTTACTGCACACTATAAATTACTACAAAAACAGAGGTGAGAAAGTGATTATTCTATCGTTAGACGTAGAAAAAGCATATGATTGTGTCAGTATCGAAATTCTCCTTAAAATACTATGCGAACTCAACTGTCCGAGTGACATCTCTGATTGGATTATTAATTTTTTAAGCAAAAGAACTATCGTTATGGGAAATGAATCTCTTGAAATCTTCAATGGGCTCCCACAAGGCAGCTGTTTAAGTCCTACTCTTTTTAACTTATATACCCTTGGTCTACATGGGATTTCTGATGACGACACACATCTGTTTCAATTTGCGGATGATTTCATATTATTATCTGCGCATAAGAACTTTGAATCGGCCAATCAAAATCTGCAATTAAAAGCCACTGAATTTCAATATATTTTATCACGCTTGAACCTAAACTACAATATCAACAAAACCGCCGCTATGTATGTAGCCAAACTCCTACCATCACTTTACAAGGCACACAAATTACATCGGTTAACAGCATTAAGTTTTTAGGAAGGCACATAAAAAACAGTTTATATCTTAAAGAACACTATGATATCTTGTCCTGCAACAAGTCAATAAATGCATTAAAAATGATCAACAATATCAACCAAATATTGCTATTAATCTAGCAAAATCCATAATTTTTTCGAAAACAGAGTACTGCATCTCTTCAATGGCTCATATGCCAACTTACTTGAACAGAAAACTTACATCTTTTCAAAATCAGATGCTAAGAAGAAGTCTTGGCCTTACACCGTCAACACCTGTCCATGCAATCTATGCATTAGCATTGATTCTACCACCGGAACAACGATCTCAATATCTCGCAGCGAAAGAATTAATCAAATTTAAATGTCACAATCGACAATTGTACCAAAACATTATAAATAACCCCTCCAACAAGACAAGTTTGGGCCTTATATACATCAAATTTAAACACATCTTCGACAAAGTTGTGGTAAATCAAATTGAATACCCCGGAAAAAAATTCACTTCATCATAAATTTGTTCAACTCGTCCAAAAATACCCAACCAAATGAATTCTATCGAATGATCCTACAAGAAAAAGTTGAAAGGTTAAAAAAAACAGGTCATACAATTTGGGCAACTGATGCCTCGGTTTCCAGTGCCTCTACCGGATGTGCAGTATGCAACATCTCATATAACCAAAACTTCCTTTTTAAAATACCTAGTAAAATGTCTTCACTAATGGGAGAATTACATGCTATCAACAAGGCCATAGACATTATCATAGAAGACAACATTAATAAGGCCACTATCATAACGGACCGTAAAAATGCTTGTCTATTACTAACACGAAATACAACTCAAAACTACCTGGCAAATAATATACTCCGAAAAGTAAATAACTCAAAAATTACACAACTCACCAATATCTGGACTCCCTCACATATTGGCATCCCTGCAAATGAGCGTGCAGATTTCTTCGCCAAACATGCGGCTCAAGTCGGCTCTATAATTCAATCAGACCTCTCAGTAAAAGATGCTCACTCCCAGATCTATCAGCATCTATGGAACGGATGGAAGGAAAATTATAAAAACATCTCAATCTCTAAAGGCACATACTTCTCTCAATTTTTCCCAGAACCGCCGTCTCGTCACTTGTATGCAGGTTCCAACATGCCCCCTGGAGAGATCAAACTCATAAATCGACTATTCACCGGTCACACATACGGAAAAACTTACCTATTTCTCATAAACGCTGAAACCTCCAACTTATGCGACACTTGCAACACTCCAAACACCGAAAATCACCAACTCTTTGTCTGTCCTAAATTTAATAATGACAGATTAAATTACAACATTTTTACAAATTTTTCAAACTTACCTGCCCTACTCAAAAGTTTCGCAACTGAAAATTTTCATGAATTATGCACTTTCATTCACAAAAACAATATACAGCTGTAAAATGGATTTTACGCGACGCAGCACAACTCTACAAGGAAGCAAAGAAATGAAAAACAAGAAAGAAAAAGATAATTACCGATAACCATTAATCGAATACAAAGCAATGGTACATGCATACTTAAGGTATCGTACCAACCTCGTCTTGACGGCGTAACCAATTACCGATTCCAAAAAAAAAAAAAAAGTAGAACTTAAGAATTATTTTAAATGAATAAAACAGTGTAGTAACAAGTAAAAAAGCAGTAAGTTCAGCCGGGCCGAACTTTGAATACCCTCCACCATTTGGTACAAATTTAATAAATTTCAAACAAATAAAATCCGTTAAAAATTCTGTTAAAATCTTAAAAATACCGAATGAAGCCGTATATTAGGTTCTATACGACGATGTGGACCTGCATAGGCAACTTTTGTCACAAGCTATTAGAATATTCAAATGCGAAACTTGTTAAATATCAGTTTATAATGTAGCTAAAATCATCAAAATACCGAATATAGGGAGGTACCATGGGGGTTATAAAACGTGGACCTGCATAGACAATTTTCTGTCATAGGCTGTTGTATCTATTACGAACTTCAAATAAAAAAAATTGAAACAGTTCCGGTAAATAATGCCGCTAAAATCATCAAAATACCGAATATCGGGGGGTACTGTTATATGGGGGTTATACGAAAACGTAGACCTGCATAAACAATTTTTTGTCATAGGCTGTAGTATTCATTATGAAATTCAAATACCAATTTGAAACAGTTCCGGTAAATAATGCCGCTAAAATCATCAAAATACCGAATATCGGGGGGTACCGTTGTATGGGGGCCATATGAAGACGTGGACCTGCACAGACAATTTTCTGTCATAGGCTGTAGTATTCATTACGAACTTCAAATACCAAAATTGAAACAGTTCCGGTAAATAATGTCGCTAAAATCATCAAAATACCGAATACCTGGGGGTAGCGTTATATGGGGGCTATACGAAGACGTGGACATAGATAGCCCATTTTCAATACCAAATGTCCTGCAGACAAAATACACATTGGAGTAAAATTTTATCAACTTACTTCATTTCGTTCGGAAGCTAGAGCGATTTCCACAGACGGACAGACATCGCTAAATCGACATAGAATTTTATGCTGATCAAGAATATATGTACTTTGTGGGGTCTATAATGTGTTAGAAACGGAATGACAAATTAATATACCCTCCATACTATGGTGGAGGGTACCCATATATATACTGATACCGCACATATACTGATACCGCCCATTTTATTATATTTTTTTCTTCAACCGATTTCGTTGGCTTCTACAGTTCAAAGTAGAAACTGATTAAATAGCGAATGTCAATCATATCATTTTAAAAGTTTTTTTTTTAATCTCATGGAGCTATAGGAATTGTAATTTATAGACTCAAAAACAGCTAAACAGATTTTCCTGAAAATTTCCATATATACTACAGCATCGCCCGAAAGTAACAAAGGCTATATACATTTTTTTAAATTCCACTTCAAACTGGAGGTATAGCATCAGAATCGGAGGTGTTTCCATTTCAAATTTGGAGACTGTGTCTGTAATCGATCAATAGATATGTGCATATAATTTATAAATTCTTTGGAGGTACGTCCGATTCTGATGCTTCATACAGCCTATGTTACTTTCAGCCGATGTTGTAGTGTACTTGGAAATTTTCAGAAAAATCTGTTCAGCTGTTTTCGATTCCATTGATAGCAAACAAACATACATTTTCCTCTTTTATAGATATAGAAGAAGATTTCAAACTGTTTTCCTAAGGCAGAATGTAGATGAATCGATCTAAAGTCATGAGCTCAATTCGCTGAGAAGCACAATGCCGGCGATCAATTTTTGTATTCTTTTATACCCTCCACCTTTAAAAGGAGGGTATATTAACATTGTCATTCCATTTGTAACATCCCTAAATATTCGTCGTAGATCCCATAAAGTACATATATGCATAATCAGTCAAAAATTCTAAGTCGATTTTACGATGTCCGTCTGGCTGTTGAAATCAACCTACAGCCTACATTATTTGACGTAGAGCTTAAAAATTTTACAGAACAATTTGTATTGTATCTAGGATGGTTGGTATTGAAAATGAGATATAGCGATCCATGTTTTGGAATAGCCATGTAACAGTACCTTCCGATATTCGGTATTTTGATAATATTCGCCACATTTTTTTCACGGATTTGTCTAAAAATAGGTATTTGTACGTCATAAAGGGTTCTGGCTCCGGTGGCTAAACATTGTATGTATAGGTCCACGTTTTTGTATGGCCCCCATATAACGGTGCCTTCCGATATTCGGTTATTTATTTTTTTGTCACATTTCTACGCGGATTTGTCTAAAAATTAGTATTTGCAGTTTTTCTATTTCTATTTTGCAGGATTCTATTTCCGGCGGCAGAACATTGAATAATTATGTCCACGTTTTCCTGTAGCGTACATATAACGATACACATCGATATTCGGTATTTTGATAATCCTTGTCAAATTTACCCACGAAATTGTTTCAAATTTGATATTTAAGAAGATTTGGTAGATGACTATTGGTATAATAAAATTTGATAGAATTAAAATTGTCTTTGTAGTTTAAAGGAGAACACGTTTGACTACAGATACTTTTATATAAAAATTTTTTCTTTACCCAAAGGTTGATTGCATTAAAAGTTCGGCCGAACTGAATGGTTTTTATTTATTTCTTCTAAAATTGATGAACATATTTGACTTTGATGGTTGTTTCACCTTTGTCTGTAAGATGTGTTCTAGTCCATTTCAATTTTTTTAATACCCTCCACCTTAGGGTAAGGGAAATATTAGAACCCATTATGACCCACAAATACCAATTTTTAGACATATTCATAGGAAAATGCGCCAAAAATCAATAAAATACCGTATATCGGGAATTACCGATATATGGGGCTATACAAAAACGTGGACCTATAAATACAATTTTTCTTCAAAGGAGCTAGAACCCATTATGACTAACAAATACCAATTTTTAGACAAATCCGCGAAAAAATGTGGCAAAAATCATCAAAATACCGAATATCGGGAGGTACCGTTGTATTGGAGTTATACCAAATCGTGGACCTATACACGCAATGTTTCGCCACACGAGGTAGGACCCATTATGACCTACAAATACCAATTTTTAGACAAATCCGTGAAAAAATGTGACAAAAATCATCAACATACCGAATATCGAGAGGTACCGTTATATGGGGACTATACCAGAACGTGGACCGATATATCATCATTTTCAATACCAACCATCCTAGATACAATACAAATTGTTCTGCTAAATTTCTCTACGTCAAATAATGTGGGTAGTATTGTGTTATCAACAGACGGACAGACAGACAGACAGACGGACATCGTTAAACCAACTTAGAATTGTATGCTGATTATGAATATATATTCTTTATGGGTTCTACGACAAATATTTAGGGATGTTACAAATGGAATGACCAAATTTCCTTTCCAAGGTGGAGGGTATAATAATGTACCGATTTTTTAAAAAAATTCAATGTGCATAAAAACAACACGAATTTTCTTTATTTAGATGAAAAACAATTTATTTGACAAATTTGGTTGTAATATAACAAATATGTGGTGCAGATATGTAAATGTGCATAAATGAGATGTATTTATTATAAATAAAAAATATATAATACTTAAAAGTCATAGGAGTTATCTTCATCATCTCCTTTGCGTACTTGGAAAAATATTCTATATATAAATGCTGCAACTAAACTTCCGATTATAGGTCCTACCCAGTACACCCAATGATCTGTCCACATGCCATGGACGACAGCAGGACCAAATGAGCGGGCTGGATTCATGCTGGCGCCAGTTAATTTAATCTAAAAATGTGATGTTGTAATAATAAACAACATGTCATGGTACATGTTCTAAAAATGAAAGCTCGTAGATTGGATTTTATTCAACCTACCGCACACAAATGTCCCGCTGTTATAGACAATCCCACCGCCAATGGAGCCGATCCTTTAATATCTCTACGTTTTGGGTCGGATACGCCTTTTACGACCAAAACCAGTATAGATGTTATTAGGGCTTCTATTACTATACATTGAGCGGTATTAAGTGAGGGAGCACTAGAGGAAACTCCCAGACCAACACCGGCTACCGACTGGGGAATGGCAATCTAAAAAATTAAACAAAATAACTTAACAACCCGAAAATAGTTCTGCACAAAGGAAAACGTACACTAAGAACCGCTGAACCGGCAATTGCTCCAATACATTGTACGACAATATAAAAACATCCTTTTATTAGGCTTATCTCACCGACAACAAGGAATCCGACAGTGACGGCTGGATTTATATGACATCCACTGACATGACCAAATGTCTGAAAAAAAAATATTATTCCATGATCATTTTCCATACAAATAAAGACAATCTTACCTGTGCCAATGTAGCCACCGTCAATCCGAATGTAAGAGCAATTTGTGGCACGGACGGAGACCAATCTTCAAAGTCTACACAACTTCCAACACCAATAACGATCAGAAGGAATGTTCCAATCATTTCTCCAAACAGTACACGCCATATTTTCTTATTATCCGTTATATCTGATATCCCCACAAATTTGGCCAATTCTGAAAATGGTTGAGAAAAACATTAGCAAATTTAGAAACACGCTTTTAAACCGTGCTACGATTATTTGTCGAATATAACCGCAAATTGCCCTTACGATTCTTTGGATTTTCTTTTGGAGCTGAAGTTTCCATTATTTAATTTTTGGATTAATTTTTGTACATATATCTGTCACGTGTCTGTATTTAATTTTAAATATTCCCAGCAAACATTTGGATTTGGCTTTTATCCACCCTCAGTAATATGTAACATTTTAGTGACTTATTTTCTTAAAAAAGGTGATACTTAGCAATTTACAAAAAGAATTATGTTTGAATCGTAGATCGTCGGTATGCAGTTACTACTTCTAGGAACATGAAAATGTATACGTCATTTTTTTATACCCTCTACCATAGCATTGAGGGTATATTAAGTTTGTCATTCCGTTTGTAACACCTCGAAATATTCATTTTAGGCCCCAACAAAGTATATATATTCTTGATGAGCATAAAATTCTATATCGCTTAAGCGATGTCCGTCTGTCTGTGGAAATCACACTAGTTTCCGAACGAAAAGAAATATGTTGATAAATTTTGACTTAAATGTATATTATGTCTGCAGAACTTTTGGTATTGAAAATGGGCCATGTAGGTCACGTTAGGGAATAGCCCCCATACAACGGAACATCTAGATATTCGGTACTTTCATGATTTTAGCAGCATTATTCACCGGAATGGTTCAAATTTGGTATTAGATGTTCGTAATATATACTACAGCCTAAGACAGAAAATTGTCTGTGTAGATCCACGTCTTCGAATAGCCCCCATGTAACGGTACCCACTGATATTTTATTTGATGATTTTAGCAATTGTTTCAAATTTGGTATTTGAAGTTCATACTGGAGACTACCGCCAAGACAAAAAATTTTCTGTGTTGGTCCACGTCAACGTATAGCCCCCATATAACAGCATCTCCCAATATTTGGTATTTTGACGATTTTTGGAACATTTTTTTACGGTTTTGTCTAATAATTGTTATTTGTAGGTCACCATGAGTTCTAGCTACGGTGGCGAAACATCTATATCTATAAAAGAGGAAAATGTTTGTATGTTTGTTTGTAATTTATGGACTCGAAAACCGCTGAATAGATTTTCCTGAAAATTTCCATATATACTGCAACATCGCCTGAAAGTAACATAGGCTATATACATTTTTGAATTTCCACTTGGAACTGGAGATATAGCATCAGAATCGGAGGTACCTCCCAAAAATTTAGATTTTATATGCACATATCTATTGATTGGTTGAAGATACAGTCTCCAAATTTGGAATACGTAACGGAATTTGGAACAAAAATAAGTTTGCCTAATTATATTGTAATCGGTTCAGATTTGGATATAGCTCCCATATATATTTTCGACCGATATCGTTCATTTGATGCCTCAAACACAATATGAATGTTCGATTCCAATGAAATTTGGAATGTGTGACGGGATTAAATCCGAAAATAAATTTGTCAAATTATATTGAAATCGGTTCAGATTTGGATATAGCTCCCATATATATTTTCGGCCGATTTCAAGCATTTGATGCACCAAACACGCTATGTATCCCCAATTTCGATGAAATTTGAAACGTGTGATAGAGTTTATCTAAAAAATTGATTTCCCAAATTATATTGAAATCGGTTCAGATTTGGATATAGCTCCCATATACATATTCGGCCGATTTCATGTATTTGGTGGACCAAACACGACATGTATTTCCAATTGTAATGAAATTTAAAATAAGTAACGGAATTGGGAGCCAAAATGAATTTCTCAAATTAAATTGAAATCGGTTCAGATTTGAATATAGCTCCCATATATATTTTCGACCGATTTCATGTATTTGATGCACCAAACACGCTATGTATCTCTAATTTCAATGAAATTTGGAATGTGTAGCGAAAATTAAAACAAATATACATTTGTCAAATTATATTAAAATCGGTTCAGATTTGGATATAGCTCTCATATATATTTTCGACCGATTTCATGTATTTTATGCACCATACACGATATGTATGTTCGATTCCAAAGAAATTTGGAATATGTAACGGGATTTTGATTAGAAAATAAATTAGTCAAATTATATTAAAATCGGTTCAGATTTGGATATAGCTACCATATATATTTTCCGCCGATTTCACATATTTGATGCACAAAACACGATACGTATTTCCGATTCCAACGAAATTCGGCATGAGTGGCAAAATTTGGTGCAAAAATAAATTTGACAAATTATATTCAAAAACGCTCAGATTTTATTATAGCTCCCATATATATATATACTCAGCCGATTTCACATATTTGATGCACCCAAAGCGAGAGGGACAAAATCTGGCACTAGCAAAAATTGCCAAATTATATTGAAATCAGTTGAGGTTTGGATATAGCTAACATATATATTTCTGCCGATTTCATACATATTATGTACCAAACACGATATATATGACCGATTCCAATGAAATTCAGAATGTGTGGCGGAATTTGGTTATAATAATAAATGTGATAAATTAATTGGAAATTAGTTAAGATTTGGATATAGCTCCCATATATATATTCTCGACCGATTTCACATATTTGACGCACCAATTTCAATGAAATATGAAAGGTGTGGCGAAATTTGGTGTAAAAGTAATATTTTTAAAATTATATTTAAATCGGATCAGATTGGGATATGATTTTAATAAGAACCATTGACCCACAACGCCTTAGGCTAACACTAAAAAACAACACAACAATTGATTTGAAATACGCTTATTACGGCGAAGTATGTTGCTATCTCGAATTCACTAATGGCAATAGAAATGCCACTCATCTTCAAAAGATTGCAGTTTCCTGCACGCTTGGTATTTGCTATGAAATAAATAAATCCGAAGGACAAACCCCTCGTGTATGTATGTCATGTTACTGCTTTTCTAATGGTTTTGGTTATTTATGCATTAAAGTAGTGCAATAATTTTTTTTTTTTACTTTTTAAATTTGTTTTTTTCTTTTAACCAACATATACTAGTGAATAAAATTTTGAATGCATATAAAATCAAAAGGGGTAGCGAAGCGCACCGGGTTCAGCTAGTTGTATGTATAATTCCACCTCCCCATATTCGGTATTCAACATTACGGATTTGTCTAAAAATTGGTACATACTGGTTATAAAGGGTTCTAGCTCGGTTGGCAAAATATTGTATATAGGTCCACATTATTATTTATATCCGCTTATGGCGATACCTCTCGATATTCGGTATTTTTATGATTCTTACCACATTTTCCCACGAATTTGTCTAAAAATTGGTATTTGTGGGTCATAATGGGTTCTAAGTTTTCTTTACCCTAAGGTGGAGGGTATTAAAAGTTAGTCCCGGTCGAACTTATTTTTTTTTACTTGTTTTAGAATAAGAATACGGTGTAATATTCTTATCAGCACTTACTTTTAAGTGAAGTTTTCTTCGCGTTCTTTTGCAGAAGAAAAGCAAGAATGTAAAAAAAAATACTACAATAGTCGTTTTTCCCTTTACGGTATCGAACAAGTTAAAAAGCCCGGGCAAACTTTGAATACCCCCCACCATTTGGAACGAATTTGGAAAAAACACGTTAAAAATTCTAGTTAAATCTTAAAAATACCGAATAAAACCGTTACTTTGGGGTCTATACGACGTGGACCTACATATGCATTGTCTGTCATATGTCATTACCCTATTCAAATTCGAAATATGAAATAAACGGTGAATAATTGTCTATGCAGGTCCACATCTTAGTCTATCCCCCATACAACGGTACCTCCCTTTTTCGGTATTTTGATAATATTAGCGACATTATTCACCGGAACTGTTTCAAATTTCGTATTTTATGTTCGGAATAGTTACTACAGCCTATGAAAGAAAATTACTTATCCAGCTCCACGAATTCGTATAGTCCCCATATAAAAGTTTTTATTTGAGTGGTATTTTTGACGGAATTTGTTTTTTGTTGTGTGTTTGTTTGTAATTTATGGACTCGAAAACCGCTGAACAGATTTTCCTGAAAATTTCCAAGTATACTACAACATCGCCTGAAAGTAACATAGGCTATAAAATTTTTTGAAATTCCACTCGGAACTGGAGATATAGCATAAGAATCGGAGGTACCTCCAAAAAATTTGGATTTTATATACACATATCTATTGATCGATTACAGATATAGTATCTAAATTTGGTATAGGTGATGGGATTTGATTAGAAAATATATTTGCCAAATTATATGGAAATCGGTTCAGATTTGGATATAGCTCTCATATATATTTTCGCCCGATTTCATGTATTTGTTGCATTAAACACGCTATATATGTTCGATTTCCATGAAATTTGAAATGTGTGACGGGATTTGATCAGAAAATAAATTTGTCAAATTATATTGAAATCGGTTCAGATTTGGATATAGCTCCCATATATATTTTCGGCCGATTTCATGTAATTAATGCACCAAACACGATACGAATATCCGATTCCTATTGAATTCGGCATGAGTGACTAAATTTGGGTACAAAAATAAATTTGCCAAATTATATTGAAATCGGTTGAGGTTTGGGTACATCTCCCATATATATTTTTCGGCCGATCTCATGAATGTTATGTACCAAACACCATATGTATGTCCTATTCCAATGAAATTCGGAATGTGTAGCGAAATTTGGATACCATAATAAATTTGACAAATTAATTAGAAATCGGGTAAAATTTGGATATAGCTCCCATATATATTCTCGGCCGATTTCACATATTTGATGTACCAAACACGGTATGTACCTCCAATTTCAATGAAATATGGAGGTGTGACGGAATTTGGTTTAAATGTGAATTTTGTCAAATTATATTGAAATAGTTTCATATTGGGATATAATTTTATTAAGAAGTATTGACCCACAACGCTTTTGCAATGGTATAAGACTAACAGTAAACAAGTAAAGAAATACCAAATTTGAACCAATTCTGGCGAATAATGTCTCTAAAATTATCAAAGTACCGAATATCGGGAGGTACCGATGTCCTGCAGACATAATATACGTTTGAGTAAAATTTTATCAACCCACTTTATTTCGTTCGAAAGCTAGAGTGATTTCCACAGACTGACAGACGGATAGACGGACGGACATCGCTAAATCGACATAGAATTTTATGCTGATCAAGAATACATATACTTTGTGGGGTCTAAAATTTATATTTCGAGGTGTTACAAACGGAATGACAAACTTAACATACCCTCCATACTATGGTGGAGAGGGTAGGATTATGACTGGAAAGTATGTTGCTACCTCGAATTCTCCAATTGTAACAGAAATGTCTTTCAACATCAAAAGATTGCAATTTCCTGAGCACTTGGCATTGAATATGAAATTAATAAATCCGAAGGACAATCCCTTTGTGTATGCGGACTAAATTTAGCATGTTCCTGATTTTCTCATGGTCAGCTGTTCTTGGCATGTTCACGCGTTTGAAGACCAAGCTATTTGTTTGTTTACGCATTAAAGTATTACAATAATAAGGTTTATAACATTTTAGAATTTTTTTATTTCTATTTTTTAACCAACAAATATTCATATATAAAATTTTCAATGCATATAAAAGCGAAAGCAGTAGCGAAGCGCGCCGGGTTCAGCTAGTAGGACTATAGTTTCAATTTTTTAAAAACATGTTTCATCCGATCATTTCTGAAATTATTCATATGCAGTCCTTGATAAAATAAAAAAGTCACTGCACAAATCTCCAAGGGTTGGTAAGGTCTTACGGTACTCTTGAAATTTTATTTATTGTTGTTGCTCCACTTATTATGATTAATTTTGAGGTTACAAATTTGTGTTTTTCAAATTTAGCCTGCCTGCCCTACCATGTATCCATAGAGGGTGAGATAAAAAACTGCAAGAATGTCAAACGCCATAATTTTTACATTTTTTTTAAATTTTATTGAATGAAAGCAAAAAATGTCGGAAATAGCATCAAACAAGTTTAGATTTGTTCGAATTGGTCACCTTTAGCACGAATTATGACCTTATGTTGCTCTGCGGTATTTTGGATCATACCCGGCGAAGCGCTTGCTTGAGGTAGTCGAAACTTTGATATATTTTAGTGCCAACCTTGCTTTCCAAAATACTCCAGACACAATAGTCCAACGGATTGGTATCCTGAGATTTTGGTGACCATTGTGCCCTGGAAATGAAGCGAGGAACCTCATTTTGTAACCATTATTGGGTGGCGTGTGCTGTTGGAATGTCCAGGTTTGCGACCAAAATGTTTGCGTGCCCAAGGCTTCAATACACCCTCCAGAATATTTTCGTGATAATATTCGGCATTTATTCTGATGCCACGGTCGATTAATACGAGCAGAGAGCGACCATCGGCTGTTATGGCAGCCCACATCATCACCATGGCCAACCGAAGGTGCACATTTTCAGCTGACCTCTTTGGCAAGTAAACACGATCATTTTGTTTGTTTTCAAACTGCTGGACAACGAATGTTTTCTCATCGGAGAAAACCAAATTCGGCAGCTCACCACTTTCGGCCAAGCGAACGACTCTTTAGCTCTTTTAAGTGTGTTTTCTTTCTGTTGCGGTGTAAGTTCTGGCACTTTTTGGAATTTCAATGGCTTTACTCCCAGCTCATTTTTCAATATTTCCCGAATGGAATATTGTGATATGTTCAGCTCAAGACCCAATTTTCGGCCATTGCGACGCGGGTTTCTTCCATCCACTTCCTTGATGTCGGGCTACGCTGCCAGTATCACGGTAACGAGCGATGGTACGAGACACAAAAAATTTATTCACATTTAAATGCTGGAGTGCTCTAACGAAAGCCACTAGTGGTTTTCCAGCCAAATATAAAGAAATCACACTATCACGCTTGAATAACATTTTTTCTGGAAAATTCTCACCAAAATGCCTTTTGTAGGCTTGTAAACAATATAATGAGCTGTCACTGGAATAATTTTAACAGATGTCGGACGAGGGGCTTAGAAATGACATCAGTCTGAAATTGGTTGCAGTTTTTTCATCTCACCCTGTATGTCATGAGTAAGCCAAAATCGTATATTGACTTTTATCCCTCACTGTCCATTTTTGTATAGTTGGAGGACAATGTCACCCATGAGGGTATCTTTATTTTATTCCTTTATATTTGGAGTTAATTCATTACCAAATGTATTGTTGTAAACTTTACAAAGGTCATAAGTTAGTTATTATGATGCCACCATAAATACGCTTACTCACCTGTTTTTTCTACCATTTTTTCTTTTATCGAATTCAAAATGCTCGCTTATATGATGAAAAAAATATATATTTGTATATGTGTTTTTACATGAATTGCATTCACTATTCAATTTGTTGTTTTTATTAATTTTGAATTTTCACGATTTGACACTCATTAGCATTTAATATTGAATATTTGAAAAAAATGGTTTTAAATTTCCAGTGCGTAAACGAACACCGCGATTGGGGGGACAAGCGCTTTTTCTCAAATCAATCTGTTCGCACAGCTTGCCAAATTAGTAATAACACAGATGAGTTAGCAGCAATACTTCGAACAGCAGCGAGTGGCAAAGGTGTTCGGACAATTGATTGACCATTGAATTCGACCAAATCAAAATCAAGTCATAAATGAGATTTTAATTTCACTTTTTGATCAAAATGATTGATAGGATGAACAATTGACAATTATTTAATAACTATACAAAACGCACCAAAACCATGTTGGTGGTGGTGTTGGTGGCGTTGGTGACGGTTTCGGTGTCGGCTATGCGGACGACATTGATTGGCGCAGAAAACGAAAGTACACACATTTCGCATAAATCTTTGCAGCTTTAGTTGCTCATATTTTTACTGTTTTTTTTTTTTTTTTTTTCAAACTATTATATTTGTTCAAAACTCTTGAATGACTCCCAATATGAAACTATTCATATTATTATTTTTTTTTCCAGTTTGTTTGTTTCAAGAACAACAGCAGCAGCAACAACAAATTGGTTATTTATTTAAAAAAAACAAATCGAATGATTTTGTTTTTTCTATTTACGTTGAGTGTCGATGTTTGATGATGAATGGCTGCTACACTTGAATAAAAATACCCGAAAAAATAACATGAAATCGAACTTTAATAGCTTTGCACTTGTAACGGCCGTCCGTCCGTCTGTTTGCGGTCTGTCTCTACCGTTTAATTTTTTACTATCGATATAATTCTGTTTGTGTTGTTTATCCGAACACAGTTAAGTTGCGAATAGATGTTGGGAATAGTTTGCGAATAACTAAAATATAGTTTGGTTTTTAAGAGGTAACGCTACACCTCTATGAAGTAATGGACACAATCATTTTGTTTGATCCATTTGTTTGTGACGTAGTGAAATATTACTTTTTATGCCCTCCACCATACTATGGAGGAGATACATTAAGTTCGTCTTTCCGTTTGTAGCTCCACGTAATAATAATGTTAGATCCTAGATCAAAGTATATGTATTTATAATAGGTGAACAAGTAAAAAAGCTGTAAGTTCGGCCGGGCCGAACTTTTAATACCCTCCACCATTTGGTACAAATTTGGCAATTTCCAAAAAAAAAAAAAAAAAAAAAAAAAAAACGTTAAAAATTCTGTTAAAATCTTAAAAATACCGAAAGCTTATACGACGACGTGGGCCTGCATAGGCAACTTTTGTCATAAATTATTACAATATTTAAATGCGAACATGAAGAAAAATCTGTTTATAATGTAGCTAAAATCGTCAAAATACCGAATATGGGGGGTACCGTTATATGGGGGATATACGAAGACGTGGACCTGCACAGACAATTTTCTTGTATGGGCTGAAGTATCCATTACGAACTTCACATGCGAAATTTGAAAGAATCCCTGTAAATAATGTCGCTAAAATCATTAAAATACCGAATATCGGGGGGTACCGTTATATGGGGGCTATATGAAGACGTGGATCTACATGGCTCATTTTTTGACTTTGGATGAAGTATCCATTACGAACTTCAAATACCAAATTTGAAACGATTCCGGTAAACAATGTCGCTAAAATCATCAAAATACCGAATATCGGGAGGTACCGTTATATGGGGGCCATATGAAGACGTGGACCTGCACAGATAATTTTCTGTCTTAGGCTGTAGTATCCATTACGAACTTCAAATACCAAATTTGAAATAATTCCGGTGAATAATGTCGCTAAAATCATCAAAATACCGAATATCGGGAGGTACCGTTATATGGGGGCTATATGATAACTTGGACCTACATGGCCCATTTACGAACTTAACCTGCCTACTGGGAAAATATACATGTGTGCAAAATTTTAGACTTCTATCTCAATTTGTTCGAAAGATAGCGTGATTACAACAGACAGACAGACAGACAGACACACAGACAGACAGACGGACATGGCTAAATCGTCTTAGAATTTTACGCTGATCAAGAATATATATACTTTGTTGGGTCTGACATGAATATTTCGAGGAGTTACAAACGGAATGACAAAATTAATATACCCTCCATAGTATGGTGGAGGGTATAAAAATATATGTCACTTTAGCGTCTGTCTGAATCAGGAGAGAAGAATAACTATTTCAAAATATGTATTTTTTCGGCAGGCAGGTTTTCGTGTAGCTTCCACATCGCCATCACACCTCACGATATTCTGTATTTCAAATAGAAGTGTTTCAAAATTGAAATTTTAGATCTTGTTATAGTTTTTACCTCCTGTGGCAGAATATTGTCCAGATAGGTCCCCGTTTTCCCATAATCCCCATACAGCGGTGTTTTCGCATAATCGTTATTTTTATGATTACATCCGCATTTTCAAAAGGATTTGTGTAAAGTTCAATATTTATAGTTCGTGATGTATTCTACCTTGGGTGGCACAAAATTATCTACAGAGGTCCACGTTTTTTTAGTCCGATATAACGGTACTCTAGGTGTTCAATATTAAATGATCGAAGCCAAATTTTTAACGAAACTGTTTAAAATTTGATATTTGAGGTTCTGTTTCAGTATTGCCCACGATACAATGGTACCTTCTACTTTATAATACTTGAAATTGACAATCATAAGGTTATAAACTTTTTTATTTTTGTTTGTGAATTAAGTTGTCAAATTAATTTTTTTGAGTTTTTTATTTAAAATTGAACCTTAATTTTTTTTTTTTTTTTTTTGAAAAATAATGTTGTTTTCATTGGACGATAAGCATTTACCACTGATGTTGAGGAACAGGGATTTGATTTATTCCCATTGGTGGTAATGTTGCCATTTAATTAGTTTTGGCCAAATGGCTACGGGATGACGATGAACGGGTGGATTTATGGTTTATATCGGAAAAGTTACACATAAAATTTAAGACTATACAAGAAAGTTGGCCTTCCCTTAAACCTATTGGAATAGTGTTCTGAACAATATCTTCAATTGAAGCAAAATATTGCAATGGTTCAGGAGTGTGCTGATTCCGACAATACATTGGGTAGTGTAGAAGATCAAGAATATGAAAATGCATATGTAATTCGTTCTAGACGAACTGTGTCTCAGCGATGATGATGAATTGCAAAAGGACTTACAAGATGAGAATAGTGCAGCAACAATTTTAGATCAAGGTGAACGCATGAATTCTATGTCAAATGCAGGAGGTAATGAGGTTAAGGTTCCGAAACCCCCCATTCCTATAGTATAAAATCAAAAATTAGAATATAACCACCCAAGCTTCGAAAGATCCACCGTTACAGGATGATAATAACGATGATGATTTGTTGGCCTGATGTTCGTGAGGCAGGAACAGGTAAGAAAGGTCCAGACAATATTGTCTATTTTTGCAGAATTGAATTTTATCGGGTAATCCATTCACTTAAGATGAGATTATATTTATTTTACATTTTTTGGAGCTCATTTGCGGAAGATAACAAAAGAAATTCAAATATATTGACATCAAGTCCGATTACAGTACCAAATCAGGTATTCCCTTCCAGAGTTTTCATCTCTTAATCGCCTCTGCAATGCAATGGGTCCAGATGTGTAGGCATTTCAAATTAATGCATTTGAAGCTATGGGAGTTGTAAATGTTCTGCATTTGTTCCAATGTTAAAGTTAAAAATGATTTTTTTGTTTATGTTTGTCAGTTTGAAACTATTTTTCACTTTGAAACTATTTCTTGTAAAATGTAAGTTGTTGTAGATGATACATACACCTTACAAATGCACCTTGGAACTCGTTTTAATATTGTATTACTATACCTTCATAATCTAGGGTTTTGTTTCAATGTTTTTTTTTTTTAGCATAATATAAAAATTCAAAATAAATTCGAAATTGTCTTCAGTTGGTAGTATGTCTTTATAAAAAAAAAAAATAAAAATGCGACCACTCCATAGCGTTTTTATACCCTCCAACATATATTATGGAGGGTATACTAAGTTCGTCATTCCGTTTGTAACTCTTCGAAATAATAATTCTAAACATAACAAAGTATATACATATATTCATGATCAGCGTAAAATCACGCTACAGCCAAAATGAATTAAGATAGGAAGCTAAAATTTTGCACAGATCAGTCTTTTGTCTGCAAGCAGGTAAAGTTCGGTCTATATCGGTCTACGATATCGTATAGCCCCCATATATTCGATATTCGGTATTTTGTAGCCAAATATTTTAATTAAATTGTCTGAAATCCACAAAAGAACTTCCTTCTGAGTATTTTACCCACTGGAAGAATATTGTCTATATAGGTCCACGAAATCGGGTATCCCCCATATAACAGTACCTCATTATTCGATATTTTGATGATTTTAGAAAAATTATTCACTGGACTTCTTTCAAATTTCGTATTTAGAGTTCGTAATGGAAACTACAGTCTATGACAGAAATTGTCTATGCAGGTCAAGATTTTCGTATAAGCCCCATCCATATATCAGTACCTCCCTATATTCGGTATTTTGTCGAATTTACGTAAAATATTCACCGAAATTGTTTAAAATGTCGTATTTGAAGTTCTCAATAGTTACTACAGCCTGTGACAGAAAATTGTCTATGTCCAGGTCTTCGCATAGCCCCCACATAGCGGTACCTCCCTATATTAGGTATTTTGATGATTATAGCAACATTATTTACCGGATTTGTTTTAAAGTTTAGTATTTGAATATTGTAATGGCTTATGACAAAAGTTGGCTATGCAGGTCAACGTCTCCATATAGACCCTAATATAACGGCTGTATTCGGAAATAACTAAACATTGTAGGGATTTAATCCAAGACGTTTGTAGTGCTGTAAATATATATTGGTCCTTAGCTCCTTTTTCTGGCGACATATCTTTTCGAAAATCTAATTTTTAAAGATTCTGTATAAAAAATATTGCTTAAGGACATGCGTTGGAAAGTACCCTTAGTTTGTTAGTAATAATTATTATCTTATTACTAACAAACTAAGGGTCTTCAATACTTTTTAGACAGAAGTGAAACCATTCACCAGCGTTTTTCAAAACTGGGCTGACAACAAAAATATAATATTTGCTGAATACTACCAATATAAGAAATTCCTTCCAACTAAAAACTAAATTTATCACAGTATTAAAGTTATCTTATCACGTGAAACTTTAAAGGGCGATTTTAAAGAGCTATAAACTGTGGTTTCAACATACTTATCAGAATATTACTTATTTTCACGTTACTCTCTTTTAAAGATATTAGTGTTTTTTTAATGGAAACTGTCAAGTTTGCAAGATTTGATTTATTCCAGCAAAAACATGAATTTATTACAGCTACATACCGGTTCTCAAGTTTTCTGAAATGTGGAATTTTATTAGGGGATTACTATTTTCACATACGACAACGCCTAAAAGTATGTTATTTACTTCTCCAGATCATTCGTTCCCTATTCGCACTGCTTCTTTTGCTTTAACTTCAAACGAAATACAATACAATTTTAAGTTTTTGGGTTCATTTTCTTATTTGTATTTTGTAGTTTTCGAATGTCTGTCTTTTTTTTCTTACTTATGGCCAAATTATAGTAGTAGTGTCGTATGTAAAGTTATTTTTATACCCTACACCACAAGGTGGTCAGGGTATTATGTCTTTGTGCATTTGTTTGTAACAGGCAAAAGGAAACGAGATAGACCCATAGTTCCTTTTGATGCTCTGTATAGAATCACATTCTGAGTTGATTTATGCATGTCCGTCCGTCTGTCCATGTATTTTTGTAAACAAAGTACAGTTCGCATTTATTGCCCTATC